TGGAATGACAGGGCCAAGAGTGGAATGACAGCCCCAGGGTGGATCAGGAGTGTTCAGGAACTGGAATGACAGGGCCAGGAGTGGAATGACAGCCACAGGGTGTGCCAGGAGTGTTCAGGAACTGGAATTTCAGGGCCAGGCGTGTTCAGAACTGGAATGACAGCCCCAGGGTTCAGAATATTTTTTTCCCCTGTTTTCCTCCTCTAAAAAGTAGGTGCGCCTTATGGTCAGGTGTGTCTTATGGAGCGAAAAATACGGTATGTTCTGACTCTATGGCAAAAACATGGCAAAATTGTTATTTTGCAAAAGCCAGGTTTCTTACTATAGTGTTTTTTCCTTTAAAAAATACAGCAATATAACCAAGAAATCACTGACTTGAATCAGCCGGTATTGGTAAGTCAGCCTAAAAGGAAGGCAGGCCCTGGAGGTAACATTGTTGGGCCAGCAATTCTCATTCCTGAGCTCTGCTTTCTCACAGGTATGTTTGTTTAGCTTCACTATCATGTAACCTGCATAAAATTTCTCCTACTGGTGTATCACAATATGGATGATTCTTGATATACAGGCAATATGGATTACTGTCAGTATAGGACCACAATTTAAAATCATATACTATGCAAATAAAAATGTTAAACATTTTGACCTTAGGTTAAAACACCCCCATAATTGATGTGACACACATTTAGCAGTGAGGGACTTTCATACAAATCCTGCATACTCATGTATCTGGCAGATGGATGATGATGAAATAGCTGTGTATAGTACATGAATCTTGTTAAATATGCCCACTGTCTATCACCAGTGACAGGTATAGAACTTTTTTTTATATATTTAGGACTAACTGATAAAATGCGAAGTGATTTCAATGTGATGAAAGACTTAGCTGTGCATACAAGACTTGCACCAGAGCAAAGAATGCGTGAAGTGGGAAGGCTTATTGACTACATCAACAAGTATGCTACTTAAATTCTTTTTTGGGGATGGTGGGCTTTTCCTTTCTCATTATCCCTTCCATTGCTGCCTCTCAACCTTCATTTTTATAATTAAACAGAGATGATAATGTCCAGAAAGAACTTCGTGACTGGGGTTTGAGCTTTGAACCCAATTTGCTTTCCTTTTCTGCAAGAGTTGTTCAGTCAGAAAAGATCCTTCAAGGAGGAAAAACAGTGAGTAATTTGTGCCTTGAGTTAACGGGAAGTGCAATGGTCACTTCCAGACTGGATTATTGTAATTCTCTCTACATGGGGCTGCCCTTGACTCTGCTCCAGAAGTTGCAGCTAGCGCAGAACGCAGTGGTGTGGGGTTTGATGTTGTTGCCTGTGCGGGCACACATCCACCTGATGTTGGATAATCTGCACTGGCTGCCTATCGAATACCGGATCTGTTTCAAGGGGTTGGTGCTTACCTTTAAAACCCTGTAGGGCCAGGGGCCTGCATATCTTTGAGACCACCTCTCCCCATATGAGCCATGTAGAACATTGCATTATACTAACCAGCATCTCCTAATAGTCCCTGGCCCTAGGGATGTCTGACTTGCCTCAACTAGGGCCAGGGCTTTCTCGGCCCTGGCCCCTGTCTGGTGGAATGAGCTACCTTATGAGATCAGTGTCCTATGGGACCTATTAAAATTCCACGGGGGCCTGTAAGATGGAGCTCTTCCACCAGGCATTTAATTG